GCGCCACGCTAACTCTCAGAGGACGACGCTAGAAAGGGTGAGAAGAACCATGCGGGCCCAGGCTGCTTCTGCATGCAAAGGAGAACTCTCCCATGCATTTGTCCTTTCGTTCCCTTGATTCGGCTTCAAGCCTCAACCCTGTCGGAAGCATATTGGCTTGCTGTAGTATTCGACGGTTCGTAGCTCGAACATTGCATCTGGGATTCTATCGCCCAAACCATGAAGGCTTTGGAAGACGTCGACAGGATCCTGGGTACTTACTTAGTTAACTGGACTTATAGCTTTTGTCCCACCGGAAAACAGACCAGCCGCCCTGCCATGCCGTCCACCTTTCATTTCCCGGACCAATCTGACAGGGTCTCCACGCAGTTTTGAATAGCCGATAATTTTAGCTCTGGCGATGAAAATCAACTCTCATCGCATGCGGAATAATAATGCAGTAATGGCGCCGCAGGCTTGATTGATTTTTCTTTCCTTTCGCGCAAACGTTTGAACGTGGAAGTTTGAAAACAGCTCGCATCGCAAATAACCGGTTCCAATCTTTCCAGCAAGCCGCCCAGTCGAACCTCTCCATCTTGAATTCATGGCCCCCACTATTCCCGATTGAATTGAACAGAAATGTACCAAGCTTCCCCACCTTCCTTTCGTTGATGTCCTCCGTGCGTCTGACATCCCAACCGCAGAACAGATCCGTCCAATAACCCGTGCCAAACCGTCCCCAGGGTCGTTCGAGAAATTGGCGTGAGGTGGCGTACCTAGACACCGAATGATTGGACTCGCTTGAGCAATCCCAGCACGACGGTTGGTCCCCCAACTTTTCCTTTCCCTCCTGCTTTGGTTTCGTCCTGTCTTTTCCCTAGCTCTCTCCGCGTTCAGAGAGAGATGAACCTTCCACAAACCAGCGATCTTTGTGAAAGAAGCTTGCAGTTTGCATTAGTCTACCTTTAGTTTGTGCCACATGTCTCTTCGAGGGAATTAATTCTCACTCCTGGATACGAATGGACGAAAGAAAGACCTAAGCTGAGCACTGTGCACTAGGACAGCACGATTGCTCGATTCATTCCGTCAATTCGGTCCACGATGACACCAGGCGGACCACCCTCTCCCTTCCAGTTTTAATGTAGGAGTAATAAATTCCCACTTTAATTCGGGGACGCACAGTTCAGTGAACAGCATGCAGCAGCATGCAGCAGCAGATGGAGGAGCGAGCGTGAATCTATATTGAATTACGTACTATAAAATGCAGAAATGGCTTGCTAGCAATTGCTAAGGGTAAAGGTTTGAAGATAATACTCTGCGTTGTTCAAAATATTCGTACCAGATGGCTCGGTCTGATGGCCATGCAGAGGACCGAACCCGGGTTCTCAAGGCCTTCTCACGTACACTAACAACGCTCAACACGGTGCCAGGATCATTTCATTCTGAAACTATAGGACGAACAACTTGATGGAGAGAAGTAAGCAGAGCAAATAATATGGTGACGTGATTGAATGATGACTTTAATGCTTTGAGGAGGTGAATTTAGATTTCTGATGAAAGAAAACCCTCGAACAAATTAATTGTAAGACTCCATGGTTCCCGAACTCATTTTTTTTCCCCTCTACATGTGCTACGTAGCTCCTCGCTTCTCTTATATATTTGGACCCGATCGCTGGAACTAGTTTTGAATAATTTTTTGTATTATTTTTACGGCATTAAAGGGAATGCGACTCTCAACGAGATGGTAATGAAATAACCAAATCTACTCTTGCGATTGTAAATGCGAATCGAATTACGACTTTGTGCATTGAATATTGACTAGAGTGCAGGATGGTATGATCCAGAACTATTATAAACCCAAACTCAAACTGTAAACCATAATTGTAACTTAAATTCAACGTAAAAACCTCTCGCAAAATTCTGCCATGATCACGTCCTGATCCACCCGGTATCTATATATGTGTTTTTCATTGTGTGTATGTATATATGTAATTATATATGCGTTCGTGTTCACGTTCCTGTTTCTATGCCTGTGCCTGTGCGTATGTGTGCGCGTATTAGTCCTTCCAGGCCACGCTACGAGTACAGTGAGATGCGTCTTCGAATGTGGAATGTGTCCAGCACGCTTCCACCATCCTCAGCATTACCTGAATCCTCCCAACAATTTGTCATGATAATAGCTAATAGAGAGGCTCCGAATAGGAAAGCGGCCAGCATTTGTAACTCTAGTTCCGACACTTCCTCCACTCTCAGCATCTATTTCGCTATTATAGTATGGAGAGGCGAAGACGCTTCTGAGCCTCCCGATGTTGTGCGGCCTCGACTTCGAGCTCTTGGATCTTACGTTTGACAAGTAAGATCCGCTCGTCTGCCGGAAATGACGTTAAGTCGCGATCGGAGATTATTGTTGGATGGAGTCAGCGCTCAAGGGCGCGACCTCATCCCGGAACTCAAGCAGTCCGGATTCGACCTCTGGGCTGGGAGCGCAGGCAGGAGATGAGCTAGGTGGGGTGAAGCTGTCACCCGCCGGGCTGCTGGAGGGGCCATCATCATTTCCATGCCCAGCAGATCCCTTAGGATCGGCTGTCATCCCTATGAATTTGGATGTGTTATTATAAACCCGCATACAAAGGCTGATATATGCCTTTTTTTCTTACTCCAACCACACTCATCTACCGACTCTGGCCAGGAAGGTCCCTCTCTTGATGAGAAAGCGGGGCGAGAGAAGCTCTTCTGCGTCCTCCGTCGCTTTTGCGACTTGTTGAAAAAGAAGCCTCGCCGTGGCGATCGATTTCTCGCCCCGCTTAGAACTCTCTGGGTCCGCACTTTTCTTTCTTTTGCCTCTTATTTTTGGAGCAGTAGGTAGAATTTCTATAACCGTTCGTAGTCAGTATTCAATCACTATCGAGATCTCATCGTGGTGAACACGAAACATATAGGATACCTACTGAGGTTTACAGCAGAGTCTCATATTGATGTTTCGGCAGAGAGGGAAGTTGGTAGGGAGCGGTGAGGCCCACAAAGAGGGTTACGGTGAAGGCTGCGATAGGGATTGAGATGAAGTCAAGAGAGGAGAAGCTCTAATTTTCATGTAAACATGACGCACAAATATAATTACCAAAGTTATAGGACTTTGAACTACAGTTAACACTGGTCTCGCTCACTATAACCTCGTAGTTTGTCATAATTCGAGGTTATTGTGGTGCGTGCAATTTGTGTCGCTATGCGCAAAATGCAAAAATCACAGCATCCGCTTCTTTTGGTCAATATATATAAGACACCAACAAAATCGCCAGTTGACCAGCCAACCAACTAGCCAATCAACCGGCTAGTCGATCGACCAGTGATCCATATCGATAATCTATGGCCCGGGCCCGCCCACCGTTTACCTGACAAAAAGAAAATACTGGCTTTCCTGCTTGGCAATATACCGAAACTGTACGTTATCATCCTTCAAACACCCATACGATTCATCTTGATAAAAATCAAAATATAAACAGGACATCCGATGAGCCCAGATCTGACGCAAAGAAAGTAAGAAAAAAGCCTAGGTTCTTTAATGATGCAAATAGTATTTCGATTTTTGTCTAGCTAACCAGATGCCGTACTGGTCTCGCGAAAACATTTCGATTAATAATAAGAATTATCGCAATACATTCCTCAATGACATAAAAATACATTTAAGTGAATTCGTATGATCCTCAGGGATGTAGGATATATTGATATCCTGATAACTTCTAGAATTCTATTTCTCCAATGCCATAGAAGTGAATCAAATCGCCTTATGAGCTATGGTTTGGTAAATATGTGGATCGATAGGCTTGGTTCGAACATGCATGTTCAGGATTCTGCATCACTCGGTCACAATTGATCAGCATATCTGGCCATATTGTGAAAAAGATCGTTCGAGCCCTCAAAAAGATTTTTGAGAGTACAGTTAACACCTTCTGTAACTGCTGTCACTTTTTAGTTTTCTTTGTCTAGGTCGTCGATCGGGGAGTGGCAGCTTCTTCCTCGCTCATCTTGAGATACTAAAATCTATTGACCAAACATTTAGTCCAAGAAAAATCAATATGCTATTTTCACCAACATCCGCTACCAGATTTATGGCAAGATCAGTTTCTCTGGCGAATGTTGGCGTAGCGTTTAGAAAACAGAATTGGTTATGGATCACGGTCACCTCCGGCTGCGTCCGAAAGGTCTATTGTTGAAATCGGTTAACTTTGTTCTGCCGTACATGCTTCGAAAAGAGTATACGGAAATATATTTCGACATTAATACATTGTGGAAGCGTTATGTCAGTTTGAACACCCCGAGCACTATTCGCTACCTTTTTAGAAAAATACTGGTCTCCTTCATCTACTCCACGAATTCTAAATGAAAAAAGAATAAAATAAGTATTCTTGGAGCGTCAATGGGGCATTTCTGAGCCATATAATATATTGGCAAGAACCCCTTCTCACATGAGGGCCCCCGAAGATGTCGAGACGCTAACCGATTATAAACTTGCCCACGAAAGAGATCGAGTCTAAAAATAAGGACAAGGGTAAATACAAGTTTAGGGATAGACCGAAAAATGTGCCTGAGGACGATTTGAACAGTTGAGCTAACACTTCCGGCAAAGTGGAGGTGAGATAGCAGTCATATCAATACCAGGTAGTCTTTATCCTAACTTAGTAGATATCCATTCCTGTGTCACTAACATGTCTATAGGGCAATAACTGGGATCCAGTGTATACTCAGACAGGTGAGGAGCTTGATCTACAGTACGACTAGAATACACGATGGAGGGCCGTCTCGCAGTGAGCTGAGACTATGTTGCAAGGAGAGACTAGACTTGGAGGGCTTGCTCAGCAAACGATATATTGTGTTGTATTTGTTGGATATTATTGCATTGCCCTATGCACAATTGAAAAACCCAACACAATTTTTCTAGCTAATAAAATTTAGACACTAGATCTTGAAAGTTAAGAAAAGTAGTACAACGGAGTCAAAATCTGCAAAAAAAAAAAGTCTTATATCGTCACCGACAGGATTCGAACTTTTCCGGCCCCAGTTAGTAATGTTCAATTTGAAGATTGAGAAGTTCTGTAGCTTACCCTGTGCCCCCGAAAGGAATTGATAGCCGAATAAATTCTAGTCAATCGCCTTAACCACTCGGCCACAGTGACTGAGTTTAGATGAACGATCATACAAATTAAACTTATATATACTCTTGCTCAACTGAAGCTGTCAGTTCAGTCAAGATTTGCAGGCCCCTATTTCTGGACTCTCGTCAAAGTCGACGCCTGTTAAGGTAGGCTACAAAGCGATACCTTCTAAATCCCTGACGAGAGTAAGTTAAAGATTCGATTAATATCCGTCAGTTACGTGATATCCCTTTCTTAAGTCTCGTTATAAGATCGAAAACTATTATTATATAAACGTTCAGCGGATTTTGGAGGCACAAGTGGTGATTCCTTCCAAAATGTGTTGTTGATGTGTTTGTCATGTTTGCTCCTAGAGCCGCCGCATCGTGTTGTCTGAGTGGACGAGATCACAACTAACGAGCGATTTTTTGGGTCCCGTCTTCACTAATCGATGCTTCGAGCAACAATTGCTGCATCCGTTCTACAAACTATGGTCCGCTGAACCAAGTCGATGGTCCGTTCGATAATTGACTTGAGCGGCGAATTCGACAACTGGTGTGGCTCAGAATTGTCAAAACTCGCCCTTATCGAAACGCTCACCAAGTTCAACCGGAAAGATAAGATAAATTAACAATTGGGGTGGGGCAGGCCATCGCTAGTGAAACTTCATTCCATGCGTACGACCAAACGAACGATTAGCCGTTGGTTCTGACCCTGAACGATCGAAAAGGTGGGCTCACGCACGTCCAAACTAGGTGCATTTCCTGTTGCATGTGTAAGTCCATCTAAGATTCCTCCTTGGCCCCAACTTGACCGACCTGGGATCCCTTTCCAACCATTTGGTCCAGTAGACCCGATAGCTCTTGATTGGCTGGAGGGGGGTGCACGATACTGCTTCCTTTCACCGGCGTGGGATGGCGAGCTGCACAGGGCCTGCACTAAGCGGGTCCCGTCGAACGAAATGAACGAGCGAAGAAGGGTTTTCTTTTTCCGTGCATTCTGCCCTGACCAAGCATGAACAGGGTCGAGCTTGGGGGGGGAAATGGTGGAATCGGGCGACCTTTGATTGATTATGCTCTTGCGGACATTTTGATTATAGAGAATCAACAGCAGGAGAGGGTCTTTTTTTTTTTTTTTCGCTTGCCAAACTCAATCCCAACTTCAAAGACCCATCTCTCTACTAGACGGACCAGTAAGATGGTGATGAAGACGGTCAGAAAGCTTGGGTTATTTTCTTATTTCGCTATCTTTCTGGGCCAGCACACCCACTCTTTTTGATATTAACGGCACCCTCCATCACCTCCACCAGGACCTGGCCCATAGCGCTAGTTTGATTGAGCGAGGTGTAGGGACCCAGGCCGTTCTCGACATCCCCCATTGTCAAGTCAGTTTCCTCTCTTTTCCCTTCCCTTTCTCCTCGTGGGCTCCTTTCCCTTTCGACACTTCTTTCCACCTCATCTTTCTTGTTTTTGTTTTAGAATTCCGGAACCCATTCTTCTGAATTCTCAGGGCCGATTTGCGAAGTCCCAGACAAGAAAAATTCGCAGCCACCGATTGATTGCAAGCAAGAGGGGCTACTATTATCAAAAACCAAGATCCCTCCCTTTTTTCCCTCCCCGTCAAGCACACACGAGACGGGACTCGAGGCTCTCGCTCCTGTCATTGGCGCGCGTGTGGGCTGCCCCGTACATCTGGTTTTCGAGACAAGCTGGATTTGCCCGCAGAAAGAGGTGTGGTTTTTCTCGCTTCTGTTTCCACAGGTTCGTCCGACAGATCAGCTTTCCCCTTCTTAACTCGACTACCTCCCACACATCCTCAACGCACTCCGCTCTCACTCTCCTTCCCACACACCTTCAACATCCGGCCCCCCAATTGCCTCTTTTCTCCGGAACCATATTCTCGACCTCGAGAATTCACAGGCTTTGGAAAACGTAGTTTTCTTTGGAAATTGCCTCCTCTGGACAATTTTCTCAATACAAACAAGGACCGTTATTCTTTGGGTGGCTCTATTCATATCCTCGGTTATCATTTCCATTTTGTCTCTCCTCAAACGCGCGCGCCGTTCAAGAAGAAAACTAGTCCTCCGAAGGCGACTTCTTCTCCTCATTTCAAAAACCTTATCGTCCTTTATTTTGACCTTTTCATGATCATACCCATTTTGTTCTCTTCACGCTTAGCATAGTCGACGGGTGCATCAGCTCTTTGCGCTCATTTATTAATTATTGAATTTGGTTTTTTCATTCTTTTTTTTTTCTTAAACGGGGTTTTCTTTTTTGCGCTTTCGACCAGCATAGCATATTCACAAGCACAGCAGGGTTCCACAGCATACATTGGTTTTTAGGTCTCATAGTTGCATATCTAGAGCGTTTTTTATCATTGGATTCCCCTCTTCATTATATACGACTGCTACCGTTTTTCTAGCCTTCGCTATATTTTATACCTTTTTACTCGCATTTACGATCGCATTCCTCATCTCCGTCTCTTTTTTCCTTCGGTTTTCTTAGCGGACCGGAGCTGCGTACTATAAACCACTAAGCACGACTCGAATTCAATACCACGACTACTCCTTCCTGGCTTCGTCTTTTAAAGTTTTGAAGCTAGATATTTGCACCAACCTCGTTTGTCTTTCTAGTGGCAATTACCTCTAGCAACGCACCTACCATCTGCACCAGCAAGCGATCTTCCTGGAAACTCAAAATATCACCGCCACGTTCTGTTTTGCTTGACTGCTTTCGCACACTTTTGCTGAAGCTTATATAACGACATTTGTTTGGGAACGGACTTTGGTGCATAGCGCTGGTTTTATTTCATTTTCATTCGGCAAAGAGTAGGAACATCTCTGGTCTTGCCTCTGGATCTATATCAAGTACAACTATTCGCATCAGTCAAACTCGAATAAGCTATTCTCAACTTTTCTTTGATTAGATATATCCTAGAAGAGTCTTGGAAAAGCTATTGGATTTTTTACCTGAAGGGGGGGTTTCACGAGCGCAGATTTCTATACGAAAATATCTCTCGTTTCCTACCTCAAGTTTTATGTATTACTCATCGATCGAGACATTCTGCCCCGCCGCTTTCAAAATATTATAGTACCACACAACAATCAGCATACCGCCACGTTTACCGAGTTAACAAGAGTCTTCAGCAGCATATTTTTTGCTTTGCTTTCTTTTTGAGTATAAGGAACGGAGCCTATAAAAATCATCTATCAAGCTGTTCGGCACAAGTTTCCAACGTTGGTGTTCATCGGCGTTTCCAGTCTCCGTTTTTCTACATCTCGCTCGACAAGGCGACTATCTATTTAAATACAAAGGCAGAAGTCTTCTTGTACTCGAGCAGGGGGCAAGGAATCTGTTGTTTCCTTGCGCATCTATTTGGTGAGTACCTTTCTTGCTGCATGCATGCACGGTCCCTGAGACCCGTCCCGCGTGGCCTAGACGGAAACGTGGGAGCATCCCGAAGGCATAGTTGACTAACGGATTACCCCATTGTTTGGCACGTTGCATAGTTGTTTGACATTAGTATTCATTTATAGAGGTGTTCAACTAGTCAAGGAGTTTGACAAGAATATATACCTCTTTTCCGTTGATACGAGATCAAACGTGGTTGAACTCAATTGGGTGTGAGAACGCACTTGAGAGGGATATATAGCATTTTATTTCTTTAAACACGCCAATCAATGGCTGCAGTGTTGCCACTATCCGGAATGTCGACCGCAAGTTTGAGTGGCACGACTACTCCCTCGTATGAGTTCCATTCGTCAAGGAGCAGGGAGTCTATCAGCTCGGGATCTTCGCAAGCCTCCCCACCTGCCACGGGCCACAGCATGATTTCGCCTTTTCCGTTCGAGAACAGCATCTTCTCATCCAGAGGAATTTCCCCGGTGCCCGAGGAGGGTGGCCTACCGCCCGTGGACACCCAAGGGGAGCATCTGATCAATGGCGTCGAGACGACAATCATCATCATGGGCCTTCCTCGACAGATCACAGATCGAGAGCTCCGCAGCATCTTCATTTTGACCAAAGACTTTCTCCACGTGGAGCTGATTCCGGATAGTCCTTTGGAAGGAGGTTTGCCATCGCCCAAACGTTCTGCCGTAGCACGTTTTCGCAGTTTCGGCGCTGCTCAAGAAGCAAAGGACCACATAAACTCGAAAAGGGCAGAGATCTTCGAAGGAGAGGTTTTGCAGGCCACGATGCCGATCAGTCACACCCAGCCAACCATGGTTAGCCGACGCAATACCACAGACAGCTCCTCTCGACCCACCTTGTTGTCGACATCCACAGCATCTTCGATCGCATCCTCCTCCGGGAGGAGTCTGGGAAAGGTTCATGGTTTGCAGGCTCCATACTCGGCGACGGAAGCTATAATTCCTCCTGTCGGTTTGATTGGAACGATCCCACCGAGCCTCGCTAATGGTTCGCTTGGAGGGCTTGGAACAGGTCTCGGGTCTTTGGCGAGTTCCAAATCGTTCGGCAGCAGTTCGAGCGATTACAGTCTTGGCCCCAGTCCCGAGTACATTACCGATGCCTTCCCTTCACTTCCAGTACGGACACCTGGATCCGTTGGGCCGTCCAGTGGGAAGGCCTTGCTCATGGAAAGTGAACCGGAGACCAATGAGGAATACGATAGTCTTTTGAGCGATCACTCCCGGTATCTTTATACCAACCCATCCGCGCTTTCGGCTGAGCCGATGCCTCTCGCTACGATGCAAAAGCCAAGAAGGTCAACCAACCCTGCTTCCATGGCTACAAGGTTCTCACAATTGTCTCTCAATACGAACAACCTGCCTCCGCTGAGCGGACCGATGATGGGGTCACCCGCAACCATGGCTCCCGGTAACGCCAGCACATTGACATCGCCGATATCTATACCAATGTCTGCATCCACAGCAGCACCGAATTCGAGCATCTTACCACCTTATCAGAGAGTGTTACCCGCAGCTAATCCAGCTGACCAGAATCCTCCGTGTAACACCCTATACGTCGGTAATCTCCCAGCAAACACCTCGGAAGACGAGCTCAAGGCTCTCTTCTCCCGTC